CCCCCCCCTTTCCCCCATCACCCTCAAACAGCCATACCGTGTGTCAGTGTTACGACACAACAACAGTGTAGCGGGTTTACATACTCAATGGGCTATGGAGCCCCTCGGGTAGAGCGAGTAAGCATACTCCCAGGTAGCAAAATGAAGCAAACTGCATTCGAACCGCATGATATGTCCCATCTGAAACGCCCATTTTAGGCGCATCTACGCGCATATCAGACGCCTACACGCGTTTTAGGCGCTTTTTAGATTGGACACAAAATGCACATTTTATGCAGCTCTGCTACCAGGGCTGTTGTGATGTGGCCCTGCAGGGTGATTCCGCACAGTGGCTAGCTCGGTGGCTAGTCTTCTCTCTCCCACCTATGCCAGTCACCCATGAGTGCGACAAGGGCAGAGGTACGAAAGCGCTGTACGGAATCACCCTGCTGACAGACGGTGCGTGCGTGCGTAGTATGCGCACGTCAAATCGGCTCCTTTGACAGCCTCCTCGCCGCACTGAGCCGCAGTCAGGTGCCGTAGTGCGGGCGCCTTGCGCACCACGCCATGGCAATCGACTTCCCCTCGTACCTCCCTGTACTCACCGCGCTGCTCTGGAGAACCACCACACGGTCGAGGGAATGCCCAGGAAGCCCGCTGAGAGCCGGCCCCAGAGGGCTCTGCGACGGAGACTTTCTCGCACTCTTCGGTGGCCTCCAAGGTCCTTCGGCAATGTGGCGAAGGGTGGTGTCGTCGTGGTCGTCGTTCAGGTCGCCGACGCAGACACGTGCGGGGGCCGACGTAGTAGGAGGGGGGTCCCTGCACCCTCTCGGCGTTGGCCAGCGTCCGCTGAAAGCCCCGAGCGGGACGCACAGCGATGCAGTGTCCTACGCGAGCGTCGGGAGCAGGGTCTTCGACGCGAACGGGAGTGAGATTCGACGACGTCGCCGCCGAGCCGGTGCGGAGCCGGTGTTGAGCGTCGCGAGGGCCTGGCAGGGAGGGCTCGCCCGGGGCCTGCAGACTGCCTGTCGCGCGTGGTGAGAGGGCGCCAGCGCCAGGCGTGGCCAGGCGCCTCGGTAACGGCACGGGTTGGTCACGAAGAAAGCAACGGTCCTGGCCGCGCTGAGCTGCGAGAGCCGAGCGGAGCGGCGCGGCCGAGCAGGCGGAGCAGAGCGCATGGGACGGCGGTCGCGAGGGCTCTGCAGCTCGGCTCGGACTCGGCGCCGCGGCCGGGCCTAGAAGAACGGTATCCCCCCCTCCCCCTCTCTCCGTCTCCATCCTCCCTCCCGCCTGCTTTGGGTTTGGGTCCTTTCTCCTTCGTGTCAACCTAGATAAAGAATGGAGAGATGACGTACCTTCTAGTGATGCACGTTTCATGTCGCCGCACATTTCACTCACAGCATGGGAGTGAGAAGATGTAACCATCTGACTCGTATATTGGCTACAGTGCGTCCCACTTCGGACCCAGCGAGTAAAGACTGGGCGAGGAGGGTAGCTAAATAACCGAGTGAGTAAAGAAATCTATCCCCTGAGAAGATGGGCAACCCGTCCAAGGATGAAAGGGTTTCCCAGCAATACATTCCTCATCCATGAACTGGCCGGTGCAGGGTAATTTTACGATCCTAAATTGAAGTTGAATAGGATAACTACACTACTCCATCAAAACAAGATGTATACCGTGCATACTAATTTTCAATAAATCATCAGAGAACACTCCACTTCCACGTTGGAAGACTGGACCATTTCAAGCAAGAGAAGTTGAGGTTGCAATGTAAAGCCTTTTCTGCTTTTGAGGTTCGGGGAAGGACTGAAATGTTTTTCATTATTTTTTGCAGCAAAATTTCTCATCCCTGCGAGTTCGAGTTTTTGGTTGGAGGTTATGTGTCAGTCGTCAGTCAACAGAGTCAACACACAGACATACAGGTGTAATTCATTAACCAGATTCATCCAGCGTAATTTTCCTATTAGTTGACGCTTCGTTGTGATCAAGTAGTTAAGACTCTTCGATTCTACTTCGGGGTAAATCCTGGACAAGACATGTAAATGCGGACACCAACTTACAATAATATGCAAAACCTAGCCTTTCATTGTAAACAAAGCAGTAGAAAGAGAGAGCAATTATTGTGTTACGTGGATAGTTCTGTCCTTTTATGTCACCTCTTTTCTGTGCCTTCGTTTTTAGTCTAAGTATTTCACCCAACAGTTTGATTGTATTGCAGTTTTTTGCTTTCACCTGTTGTCGAACTTTTATCTGCAAAGACTGGGGGAGTGGCACTTGACAAAGTCCTGTGCAGATTAAACCTTCTAGTTTGTAACTTTTTTTTTCTCAGTGTCTCAAATATGAATAAAACTGTAATGCAACTGTCTTGGATTTCTTTTCAGTGTGATTAAGATGGCAACACGGAAAAGAAGTGGCTCCGGCTCTAAATGGCAATTAAAGGAAAAAGTTGTTCAAATGTATGAATGCTTTTTCAAGGTAAGCTTTAAGTTTGGATTCTTTGCTTTCCTCTATCTTTATATAATTTGCAGTATTTATAATAGAGCGCTCTGTGATTCAGGGTGAAGATCCAACAAAAACAAATTCCAATTTTTGGGATGAGCTGTTTCTTTTAAAACCAAAGGTACTGTGGTAAAACCTTTGCAATGATGATAGACACGTCAGGGAATATCATTAATAAAGTATTGTTCGCAGGTACCTCAACTAGAGGCTGAGATTCAGAAATTAAATATTGATCAGCTGCTTCAACTCAAAGAAAATATACATACTCTCTTTCATCAATGTGTTGAGACTTTGAGTCACGGGCACCATATAAGGGTTGTATATGCATTACAGGTAAAATGATTTTATAGTAGGCGCTATGCCAACTGAAGTACCACAGTAAACCAATTTTGAATTAATATTTTCAGACCTTATGTGCACTTATTGATTCCATCTACAAAAAGACTAGTGGTGTCTCAGGTTTTGATATAATAAATACCTTGATGGGCTTTGATCAGGCAGAATTGCGGATGCAAGGTTTAATGGATCACTTGAATAATTTTCTAAGTGGTATGTGATACTTATAGGTGCTATAAAGCAGTGAGTGGAAACATTCTTGGCTGCTTGAAGGCACTTGGCACAGTGTAGCTTTAAACCTTGATAACATGTTAATTTAAATAAGAAACATATTGTAAGGCATGGGTGTATGTGGAAATTTTCAGAACAGTTTAACTTGTATGATGCTGATGCATCACAATGCCTAAGATTTGAAGCAAACAATCCCCTTTTAAATGCTATCTTGTTTCTTTGATACATTTACTGGAAAAACAATTATGACATAAGTCACATTTTGTGATGCACTCTCTCGGCTAAATGCAGTTCATCCAATAAATAGTCAAAATGTTTCCCTTGCTGATACATTCTCAGGAAATGATGTCAGGTTGGAGTAGTGTCCATGCCCCCTTCCCTTCTGGAATATTACTTTTTCCACCCAGTGCTGCATGCTGCATGTAGTAAAACTGGTCTGAGAAATTATTCATGCTTTTTAATGTTTGGATTTATTTTGTTTGAAATAATGTTCTTTCTTAGGTGAGTTCCCAGCCAGCCTAAAAACTTTATGCTTGAAACTTCTTTTGGTCCTGGTAACTGGGACTGAAAATGTAAGTCAAAACACCCTACTGGAGTATGTCATGATCAACAGTGTTTTTGAAAGCCTAATTCAGGTAATAATGTTTTTTGGCTTTGAAATCTTAAAAATGACATTCAGTACACAGAAACATATTTATCTGAACATTATCCCCCTAGCTTTTGTGTAATCCTCAATCTAGAGCAGCACATGGGCATGATGCTGTTCTTCTTCTAACCCTCCTAGTAAATTACCGTAAATATGAGGCCGCAAACCCTTATATTGTGAAGCTCTCAATCTTGGATGATGAGCTTGCCTTAAATGGTTATGGGCAGGTAATTCACTCTGTTCAATTTTGTTGATCTATTCATTCTAATTAATGCTCTATTGATAATGAGAGTGCCTTTTGGGGGGCCAGGTGATAACTGCTTCTCTATCAGAATTCTGTCACCAATTTGCTGCCCAGCATCAAGAGAATCATTCTGCAGGTTGGCTCTCTTCACTTACTAACATGGTGGGCAGCATGTTTGTCTCTGAAGAAGGAGGCGTTCGGACACAGCAGATCAGGTGCATATAAGAACAAGTCTTTCTGTTGTATTTTAGTTGTAAGTTACATTATTACAACATCTCAATCTGTTTCAGGGCCAATAATGCTGTCTTGGTTGCTTTATATGAAGGGGTACATTTGAACCGTAATTTTATTACAACTCTAGCACATACCCAAACAGATGGCAGTCTTCCTCCCTCACCAAGTAACACACTAGCCGCGCACACCACCCCTCCCTCTGATTCGAGTGCTCAATTGCCTGCCTTTGATGTGATGGCTGAACCTTCCAATCTTCTTGTAACTTTCTTCCAGTACTGGTGAGCTGGTAATCTCTCTGATAAATAAGTATATATTTTCTGTTAGTCTGCTGATTTGTCATTATTTTTTCCCTCGTTCTCTACAGCTCTATTGTCATGCAAGATACCAAGTGTGAATCAAGTATGAACAGCGTAAAATTGTGTTTCCTAATTCTGACCTGCATATCTGAAGACCAATATGCAAATTCATTAATGCATGATGCCAATTTGACATTTAAAGTTCTTTTACACCGTTTACCTATGAGGCATCGTAAGGTCACAACTGAAAGGACTTCACCATCTCAGCCTCTTGCTGCAACTTTACTTGGTCTGTTTCCTATTAAAATTATAGCTTTAACTGAAGTAAACAGTTTCTTCTCAACTCTAACTAAATATGCATTTTTCTAGACCTTTTAGTGGAATTTATCATGTCCCACATGATGAAGAAGCTCCCAATGGAGTTGTATCTTCTTTGTGTTGGAGTTGCACATCGTCTTATTTGTTATCAAAAGAGATGTAGGGTGCGTCTAACATATCAATGGAAAGAAGTGTGGTCATCATTAATTAGTCTCCTTAAATTTTTGGTGAACAATGAAAACCACCTAGCAAGGAAAATGAACATTTTTCATCTTGCTGTACAGGTGAGACATCGCCACTATACTACTGTATTAGCACATTCAGTTTAGAATGATTCCAAAAATTATAATTTTCAAACCCCATCGATCACAGGTTGTTAATATATTTAATCTATTCATTACTTATGGAGACACATTCCTTCCTTCACCTGGAAGTTATGATGAACTTTACTACGAACTCATTCGGATGCAACATGTTTTTGAAGATCTCTATTCTATGGGTATGTCACCATTCACAATCAATCCTTCCGAATTATCTAACATGTCGACTTTTTCACGTAAGAAAAGTATGTGAGTGTGTCGACACATTGGAGAATTCAGATAGACATTATTGGGTGAACTGATTAATGAATTGTATGTACTTTTAATAATAGTACTATGATTGCAGCACTTCGATATTCAAGTTCTGATGGTGATCTGAAAGAAAATGCTTTAAAGCTAACAAGCTGTCTTAGTAATGTCAGGTAAAAATGTGTTAAAGTTAAATACTGGTCGATGAAACACATTGACATAAGTCACATTGCTCATCTTTCATGTACTCTGTGTTGCAGGGCAATTATCAACCATTTCTCACCTAAAATAGAAGCCTGGCTAACAAACCAGAGTCTTTCAACACCATCAGAGGATCAGATCTTGGAAGTTGTTCGGAAAAACTATGACAGTTTAACATTGAAATTGCAAGATAGTTTAGATACCTATGAAAGGTATACTGAAAAGCCACGACATGCTCAATTCTTCACAGCAATGGTTCGTAGCGTTGTGAATGACACAAGGCAGAGTATTGATTTTGCATCCATGGACTTACAAAGTATTCTCCATGAGTTTTCTTCAATTTCGTGACATGCTACTTTAGGTCATGATTTTGTAACAAGCAAATTAAAGGGGTTCATTACCCATTATCTTTCAATGATGAGATAGTCTGTTTTCAAAACTGCTTGACATCACCAAAGCTGAATGAAATATTGATGTAATTTGATTGTAGTTGCATTGGAGGTATATTTTTATGTCAGAGTTATATTTTTAAAGTCCAGATGTTGAAATATGTAATCTAGAAAGAAAACAAATAGTATGAAAAAGAAAATGCTTACTAATGAGTTTAGTTTTCAATATCCATTGTTTAATTAACTGCTGTGATTAGAAAGTATGAACCAGCCAGCCTTCAGATCAAATAACTATTTGTGTCATTTTGCTAATCTTAAGCAATTGTTGTTCCCCTTCCTGGAGACCTTTACCATACCTGACTACTGAAAGAAAAGACTGTAACCTTTTTAAATGTAGGTAATTATAAAGTCCATAATGATGAATGTTTTAATTTCCTATTTCACTTAAAGTTGTAACTCCTGTAAAACAATAGAAGCAAGGCGAACATATATATAGTACCAATCGATCAAACAAAATAATTTTCCAAGAAAAATGGAGGAAGCAGTTGGTACATAATTTTCAATAGACAAAATTTGCAAGAGTCAATTATTACCTCCACTCTGATGCAATTAACTTGCTTGAAACTTATACTATTGACTAGAAGAAAAGATCCTGATGCATCAGGATAATTAAGACTTCTCTTAAGATTATTCTATCTAACATTTTTTGATATACATACTAACAAAAATTATTTGAACACTTGTTAATGACTAGGTAAAAATCAGTATGGGAGTTAGTGAGTTGGTACAATATTTCACTCTGTTACCTTGGACTGACCATGTACTGGCATGTTTAAAACAATGTCAAATAAATGAAATCTTCCATGTGATAAGACAAGACATGAGAATAACCAACCTATCACAAGTTCCACTAAAAACATCCAGTGCATAACGAAAAAACATCAATTTCTAAAACCTCTAAAATTAGATAACATAAGATTTAATAAATGCAGAAAGACAAGTGCACAACAACTTTGTCAAAGGAAACAACTCAGATAAAACCAAACTGATCTATTAATGTGGTCGGTATGCATTCTGGTTATCAATAGTGTTCTGGAAGATACATGTTTTCTTTCTTCTCTAGGAATATACTTGAGGCAGCCATAATCATACCCCAATATTATTAAACTAGACCACTACGCCAACGAGCCAAAACCATAAGACCAAGGGCTGTGACAAGGAAGATTCCAGCAGGTATGGTTGACATCATTGAGGCATAGTTGTCAGCTGTAATCAGAAAGATGAAGGTAAATAACAATGTGAAAGGTTTATGTAAAAATTTCATTATAAAATCTAATAATGAACACACATTTTATGAAGCTCCCATAATCAACAATTACAGTCTAACAACAGTACATAGCTCCAAAGGAAAAATAGAAATCTACCTCTATAGTGTCCCTCACTGCACCAGGTCAATGGGCCAAAGCCAGGGCTCCGTGACTTATTATTTGACAGCCTTTAATGTTATTTAAACAATTAAAGTTATAACTTATTCCTTTAAATGTAGCCTTTTTGAAATAAGTTCTTTTTTCAACTTCTCCAACTTTTCTTCACTCTATCTACGATTTTATGAAAATCCATCTCTTCAACTTTTACTTAAACGTGTGTTTAGTTACATTGAGTAACTATAACATTCATTCGTGTTATGATAAGTTACAGAGCCCTGGTCAAAGTAGGGTGTAATGGTGGGAAGAAAGTGTAAGGAGGTAACTCTTACCATGGAGCCCCAAGAGAAGGGGACTTTTAAATTGCACTCCTGGGTCAAAGCAATACTACTCTAGACAAACAATCTAAAAACAAGCTGAAGGGAAACATGCAAGAGTTTAAGAATCAGGGCTAGGGTTTACAATAATATATTGAAGTATACTTAACCACAATATTCTGTGGTTCTTTTTGTTGAATAGTCTTATAAAATAATTAGGACAAAAAAGATAGAATGATTTACACTTTAAACATTTTAAAAATTCAAATTCTGACTTTAAAAATGTCACTTACCACTAGTTACATGCCATGAAGGCAAAGAGGCCAAAGTCAGAGGTATGTTGCCTTGAGAATGCCAAGCAGAGATAATTTAGTGTTAAGCGCATAGCAACCATAGACATTCATTACTGTTTGTATAACATAGAAGCCTTGAACTTATGCCAGGAAGTACGTAATTGAAGGAAACATTGCAGAGTGATCATATTTATATATGTATTCCCCATAAGCAACTATAGTATGTAAAAAAAAAAAAAACACTTCCTCAAGTGTATTTTGTATTTAATGCACTTAATCTATACGAAACTGTCACTACAAGTCTGCATAGGTCTGATAAAACGCCAAGATCACCATGCTGTAATGTTACATGCACATATATGGAGCTCTTGCTCTTGGGGCATGTATGAGGAAAAATAAATTTAAAAACTAAAATAAAAAAGACATTCCTTACTGTTTGTAAAACTTTGAAGCCTTGAACTTATGCGAGGAAACATTACAGAGTTATCATATTGGTGTATATACATATATATACATATATATATATGATCAATCAGTAACTTAAGGTGTACAAGAGGTTCATCATGCAGAGCTTGACCAAAGGTGAAATTTTGACCAGCCACCAAGGTATGCCTCCCTACTTTTCTCTAACACATTCCAAAATTCGGCTGTGAGTTGCATCTTTTTTCTTGACTGCCGAACCATTAAAACTAACTTCCAGGAGTTAAGACTATGAATTACTAACAGTTACATTGAATAGTGACAAAACGTACCTTCAGAAGGTTCATCCGTTAAATCCACCTCCCAACCAAGACTTCGATCTACTGCTTTCTTCCACTTTTGGTGAAGAATTTCTCTTTCTGTTAAGAAAATGAAAAGTGAACTGTAAAGGTTCTTTGCAGAAAGCAAATAAACAAAGTCAGTGAAGTAATGGGACACATCACATACCATTGTCATTCATACGAGGATAAAATGTATCATAAGGCACATCAACTGTATTTTCCAAATCCCACACCGCAACTCCCTCGGCAACTCCAGCTGCTATAGCTGCACCTAGTGCTGTTGCTTCAGTCATGAGAGGGCGGACTAGACACAAAGAATAAATTGTTAATCTCGTAAAATTTTCTTTGAAGCAGGACTATTGGATTTATTCTTACCAACTGGAATACCACTTAGGTCTGCTTGAAGTTGCATAAGATAATTATTAGCTGTCATCCCTCCATCAACCAGCAAACGACTTAATGGAATGTGGCAATCTGCATTCATTGCATCAAGGATATCACGAGTTTGGAAACAAGCAGCTTCTAAAGCTGCTCTAATTAAATGGTCTTTTTCAGTCTCTTCTGATAAACCGCAAATCACACTGAAGTGAAAGAAACAGTCAATCAATGAAGTACATAAAAATGCTTATTTGATAATGCACAACAACCAATCAAATTGAAATTAAATAGCACCACAGGAAAAACTGCTAAAAGATTTGCAAATAAAAAACCAATGAAGAATTAGTCTAGAAAATTGATACACATTTAGGAGTGAGGCTTGTGTTCTAATTTCCGTCTATATTTAGAATTGTTTTGTAACGTGGATAGCTGAAACAAGTCTGTTCGTCTCTGTTACATCTGGCTTTCTGGCTTGCTTACTTGCAGCTGGCCTGGCTGCATAGAGTAGGGGAGACGGAAAGGGCGGAGTGAGCGCAGGCCTGGTATTGTTGAACAACGTAAGGGGTGCAAGGGGCTTGGTGTAGCGCTTGATACTCTTTTTCCATATCAACAGTTAAAACTGGCTGACACCTTAACTTTATTTGGGTATGTTTAGTGTTCAGAGTTTGGTTATTTAAGTTGCTAGAAACTTAAGTGAGATAGTAATGCTTTCCAAATTTGACTACAGCATGTATATTATGGATTCTTCTTGATCAGTTATAAGCCAAATATTTTTGAAAATTTCAAATTTCTATGTTCAGCCTCTAGTAATTATGACATCAATTTGAATGATTATTGCACACTAGTTAAGAAGTTAAGAATGTTACCTTCGAGCATCCTTTCGCCAGTAAGGAGCATACAAACCGGAAAAAGCAGGCACAAATACTACATCGCCCACATGCCCAGAATAATCATTTAGGTCCTTAATTTCCTCCAAAGACTCAAAGAGACCCAAATTTTCTTGGAGCCATTTAATAGCTGCTCCTGCTACAGCTACTGACCCTTCTAAAGCATACACCGGTGGCTTATTACGACCAAGTTTATAGGCCACAGTTGTTAATAAGCCATGTTTTGACTGAATAACCTGAGAGAAAAAATAACCAGTAGTTTGGATAATTCTGTTTTAAACAGCCTTAAAAGCAACAACCAAGAGCACCAAGTAACTTACAGAATTTCCTGTGTTATAGAGGAGGAAGCAACCAGTTCCATAGGTGCTTTTCGCTTGTCCTTTCTTGAAACACATCTGCCCTACTAAGGCTGCTTGCTGATCGCCCAAACACTGCATAGAAAAGCATAAGCAATAACAGGAGTTGGTGGTTAAAATAATCCAAAGTAATGGATTTAGGCCCTACTCACACCCGATATAGGGACACCAGCTAGAGAACCTGATGCAACATATCCATAAATTTCAGATGAGCTACAGATGTCAGGTAGTATTTCCTTAGGGACATCAAAAAATCTGGAAGAGACAAGTCAAAGTATTTTTAAAGAGTTTGTGCAATAGCTGTCCATCTTCACCTTAGCTTTCCACTCACTTTAAAAGATCATCATCCCAATCTAATGTTTTAATATTCATTAGCATTGTACGAGAAGCATTGGTCACCTCTGTGACGTGTAATCCTCCATCTCTCCCTCCAGTAAGATTCTGGAACAAAACAAAAATGTAAAAGCTAAAGCATTTAAGGATTTATGGATACTAGAATGAAATGAACCATTGATTACTCACCCAAATGATCCAACTATCAATGGTACCAAATAGACAACGTCCATCTGCAAGTGCTTCTTGAACCTCCTTCACATTGTCAAAAAGCCAACGAAGCTTGACAGCAGAAAAGTATGTACTGATTGGCAGACCACACAAAGGCTTTAAATATTCAGGATCATTATTGCGTGCCTTTTTTAATAGTTTGTCTACAGTTTCTGAGGTACGCATATCTAACCAAACTAAAAATTTAAATTTGTAACTCACAACAATGAAGTATAAATATGTATTGATCACTCTGTACATTGAGCCTCAGAAAAAGAAAAATACCCATTGCATTGTAGAGAGGCTTTCCAGTAGTTACATCCCAAACAACAGTTGTCTCTCTTTGATTACTAACACCAATTGCAACTATGTCATTTGGATCGATTTCTAAGTGCCGTAGGTTCTCAACTGTTCGCTCCACACACTCGAGAACTGCATTCATAAGGATTTGAGGATCTTGTTCTACCCATCCTTCACTAGGACATATTGATGGCACACTAACTTGATGGTATGTAAGAACTTCAGCAGTTCGTGCAGCAAACACCTATACAATCAATGGCACATAGGGCGAAATAAAAATTAACTCATGATTGAAAAGAGAACAGCAAAAGAATTGTACAGTGTACATACCAAAAACCGTGCGCTACTTGTGCCCTCATCTATAGCACCTACTAAAGGTCCAAACTTGCCATAGGACCGTCTCCGATTCATGTGACCTAAAAAATGACCTGAAGCACACATTTTTGCTGCACAACTTCTGACTAGCTTCCTGCAGGTCTATGTTTTTTTCTCATTTTCCTACATTACAACACATGAAATAAGTCATAGAGGTTTGAGGACAAGTGCCAGAATAACATAAATGCTTAAACTTTAAATGATTTGATATGGAAGTGATACAAGATAATGTGTGGTAAAAACATCGGTTGAATTGATAAGCAGTGATCCTTCCATTGACAGACAAATTGTAAGAATTTGAAGTGAAAGGAATGTGATAAACTCCTGGCAAGAAGTTAATGCACTTGCAAAGCTTTTAAGTGGTGATACCTGGCTCGGTAAAGTTTCCACCACCGTATTGCCAGCACCGTATAGCTATTGCTATTGCTATCGCACATTATGTGATTGCCGTTCGGGAGGAAAAGCTTGAGCAGAGGCTACCAACGTAGAGGTATGGCAGATTGTGATGACACATCTATAGACTTCAACTGGGTTCTGTTTCTGTTCGTTCTATTTTGCCATGGAGTGGATTCGCTAGCCTGAACCTGACATGGATTTGCTGACTGGTGATTAGTCATAAACCCTGTACACCTAACATCTATGGTAGATTTAATAGTTCTAAATTGCAGCATTTTTTCAATAAGATAAAAATAATTCTGAGTATGACAACTACTAAAAGACCGATCTTTTTATTCTTATTATTTTGTTTTAATTTTATCTTAACTCTAACCAGAGCGTCTGATTAATGAGTGTGGCAAAAAAATCTCTCCAAGCAAGTTTTTATTTCGTGTCTAATCTTTTTTGGCTTTCTACAGTTTCATTTTAGTTTTACCTTATCTGGATTCGAACCTTGGACCTTTGTATTGAAGATCAAATCATTAGCCAGTTTGTAGAAGTTAATCCTGTGGCGCGAATTTCTTTGGCAATTTTATTTGCCCTCTGATCTGAATACGTTTGTAAAAGACCATTTAAAGCATATTTTCCAAAAATGTCATCTCTGTAAATTAAAACCCAATACACTGGGAAATTAAAAGGGTGATGACTGAATAAAAGTTATGTTGAGAAGGATATAATTAATTTATTAAATACCACAAACAGTCATTGGTCTGAGTAAGTTAAAACAAAGTGCAATTGAAGACCTCTATAAGAAGTTGGAGGTAAAGGACAAAGTACAAGTCGCCATATCTTCAGTGCAGTTCCCCATAACAAAACGCAAGCTATATATAGTGGTAGTTCATTTTGTAGGTACTAAACTAAGCCAATATGAGTCGTCTCAACATCTGTAATCTATCTAACATCGTATGTTTAGAGTGTATGTGTTATAATACTTGAACTATCTTGTCTAGTGGACTTGGAGGTATAAGTTGGTCATGGGTGTCTAAGTAACGCCAGTAAATTGGTAGCAGTTAGGAAAGAAAATTCAATTTGATTTACTTGGTAGCAGGTGAAAATTCACAAGTTTTGAGATGCAATCGAAGAAAGTTTAGTTCTGATGAAACAGGCAAATACAAATTTTGGAGAAAGATTCACAATGGTGACCCGGATGAGTAGGTCCACAAAGGTAAGATCTAATCCGTAAAATATTTTTCAATGAATTTTTTGTACTGCTAACTATTGGTTGGCAGTTCCAATAATGTTCATAGCCTGAAACGAAACAGAAATCACTAAAATTGGACAGCTACCCAAAACTCAAAAGGTGGAAGATTGGTACAATAATGAGTTTTATGACCTTTCAGCAAAGTTTTAATTACGAAATGTTGATGATTTTGATGATTGGGAAAATAATTACCTTACAACACTTGCCCACTTACCTCATCAATTCATAGGGACCATTCATAGTTTCCATATATCAGCCGGTAGGGACAGTTATATTAGCCCAAATAGTGCGAATTATTGTGAGCCCACTGTTCGCCCGAAATTGAGATCGCCCGCCGTCATCACCAAGGAGCGGCTGGCCGTCGCCGACTTCACCGTGCAGACGGTAGCGTAGCAGGCTGACAGGGGATGGGGTAGGCAAGGCGCCTCACTTCGGTGCTCGACGGGACGGTATCGCCCCATTGGCAGGCGCTACGGGCGGCAGGGGCTGGGATAGGCAACGTGCCTCACTTCGGTGTTCGACGGGTCGGTATCGCTCCATTGGCAGGCGCTACGGGCAAAGGTCATATTGGGGACACCTTTTACTCTTACTATTTACAGTTACAGTAAAGATAAGCCATAAAGCTCTTTTTACCCTCTGTGGGGAGGGAGAATGACCAACCCGCACGCCTAAAGACCAACGTCACCAGGGTTGTTTAAACGCAGAGGCCCAAACTCTAGGCAACCGAGAAGCGTTTACGAAGCATTTGCTTTGTAAGCGCTTCACAGTTGCGACGCAGCCGCCTAATACTTCGCAAGGATTTTAACAGTGTGGATGCGGGTGCAGCGCAGCAGCCGACTGAGGTGCCCACCGGCGTTCTCCGGAGCATCCCCGCGCGATGGCGCCGACGAGACTACACACCCCGTGAAAGCAAGACGAGGTCGTGTCCTGTCCGGCCCCCCCGCGCTCGGCTTGGGTCGACGCTGGTCACCAATGACCCCCAAGCGGCCGCCACCGTCGCCAACAGAATAACCACTTTCACCCCAGCAAAGGACAGAGGAGCACAGGATCAAAAACAGAAAGGCATTGCCCCTAATGGTACTAATAATGCATATATTTATACAATATGAATAGCTACAACACCTTTTCCATCAAATCAATTTCAAAAAAAAAAAACTTTGTATATTTTGATAATCTTCAAAATAACTTCCTGCGAGCTGTCCATTGATACTTTATCAAAATTTGGTATCAACATAATCTGGTGACGCTCTCGCGCTCTCCAGTGCGTGGCTAAACTGAAGCTTAAGACGGCACTTAAAATGCGCTTTTTTGAGTTTTGCTACCTGGGTGTCCCGAAGTGACTCTTAAGTCTCCATTTGTTTCACTAACGTTGTTACTCGAAATTACTTTATTGAGCTTATGAATAGCAATATATGAGTTGTATATAGAGCTATTGCTATAACTCTAGCTATTGCTATAGTGGTTACAGCTATAGCTACATGGCTAATAGCTATAGCTATTGTTATCACTTAAGTGGCTACAGCTATTGTGCACATGGGATGACACAGTAGGATTTCAAGGGAGCGCCCGAACAGTAAGAAGAACAATACCGGACAGGGCACTGTAAAATTTTTGCGAACTATTTCTTTGTATTGCAAACAATTTTCTTTTCAGCTTGCAAAGAATTTTGAAGCGATGTATTACGAACTAAATTGTTTGCAAGCTGGCAAACCGTTCGTTTGCAATGCGAACAAATAGTTTGCAAGGGATCTGACAGCTTGCAAAGAATTTCTTTGCAATACGAACTAATTCTTTGCAATACAAAGATGATAAATTCTTTGCAACGTTGCAAATAATTTAGTTTGCAAGCATTTAACAGTGAGAGAGAGAGAGAGAGAGAGAGAGAGAGAGGTGGTGGGGGAAGGTGAGGGGAGGTGCGGTGGGTGGCTCCTCTGCGGTCTTCCCTCAGTGCACTGCTTGTTTTGCCACCGAAACTCGCGTGCAGAAACCGAGATGCGGAAATCGAATAACTACTGTATTGCTCCTTTATGCTACTCATTCACTCACTCAGAAGGGGCTACCTGCATTCGTGATAGAAAATATCAGATCTTCACTAATGAGAAGAAAATTGAAAGCAACATATGGAGGAATATTAACAGATTTTAGATACACGAGCAAGGGTCTGAACCAGGGTGATATTTGGTCCCCATTATTGTACATTCTGTTTACATCAGACCTTAGGGAAGTTGTTACAGAGGAAGAAGTGTTTATGCTACAGTATGCAGATGACATCAGCCTAACAGTTCGCCACTCATCTCTAAGGGAAGCTATCTACAAACTCCAAGATGCAGCAAGGAACCTGGAGGAAAAGATATCACAAAATGGAGCTACATTAGAGCCAACAAAATCTCAAATGGTGATTTTTACTAGAAAAACCAAAATTCCTGAGCCTCAGCACATATTACTAAGGGGAGGGGAAGTCCCCATAAAAAAGAAGCAAAATTCCTAGGAATAACAATGGATCCAGCGCTAAATTGGAAAACTCATGTAGCTAACACCCAAGCAAAGTGCAGAAATCGTTTAAAATTTATACGCTCACTGACAGGACATTGGTGGGGAGCCCACCCAATGACACTGAAACGCACCTACACCTCCTTAATTCGACCAATGTTGGACTATGGAATAGAGATCTACGACCCTCATTCCCAAGAGATGTGGGCGAAACTTGAGAGCATACAAATGGAAGCAGCAAGAATTATAACAGGAGCAATGAAGTCCACTCCGAGACATGCTCTACTGGCAGAAACAGGAGAAATGCCCATTCAACTTCGACAGCGCTATCATATCCAGAAAATCCTCCTGAAATGGCAGAGTATCTCCACAAACCGTATAATCCCATTAATAGAAGAAGGAAATAATATTAGAACTCAAACCAAATACAGACATCCATTGTTCAGAGGCCTCCAAGATATATTAGTCCCTAAAGATGAAATTTTTTCTTCTGAAATCCCCCTCTGCTATTATGTAGATTATGATGCAAGGGACCTCACCATCAGGCTATCAGCGGATTTTCCTCCTGAAAACACCATAACAGCAGAAGAATTAGAGCCGATTGAAATTTATAACAAACTACGTCAAGATCATTGGAAAAACTTTTATGTGCTGGCTACTGATGGCTCACGTCAAGCAAATGAAACTCCTTCGGTGGGCTCTGCTATGGTAGATGTAAACAGAAGTCCGGAAAAGGCCATCATAAATAAACTCCATAGTTTAGCTTCAGTGTACGACGCAGAAATTAGGGCGCTACAGCTTGCAGTAAATTATCTACCTGAAATAGAAAACCAGAGAAAGATATTAATCCTTACAGATAGTAAAAGCTTAGTAGCAGCCCTACATAGAAGAGATATCTCACCATATGAACCTCCTGAACTCACCAAGTTAAGAGAAAGCATCAGCAACATACCAAATCATAAAGATATCTGGATAGCCTGGGTCCCTGCACATAAAGGCATCCTGCCCAATGAGCACGCCGATGTGGCTGCAAAATTAGCAGCTACAATGGGACTTCCTCATAAAATGCAGCAGAGATACCAAAACTTCCTTCCTGAGGTCAGGACGCACTTCTACAATGAATGGCAACAGCTCAGATGTACTGCAGCAAACCACCCAATAAAACCGGTGGGAAGATTCAATCTTTCATTAGACCGAGAACTTACGTCCCGTACATGGATTAGCCTCGCAGATGAGTGTCCTCGTATTTTTCTGTCACCCCTTATGAGGGTTAGAATGGGCCATACTCATGCGCCAGCATCCCTTCATAGATTTGGGATAATAGACTGCCCTTTGTGCGACCGGTGCGGAGAAGAGGCTACAACAGAACATCTCATCAACTCTTGTCAATTCATCGACCGCCTCCATTTTTTCGAACATCTACAAGAAAATGCAGTACCAGAGCCTCACACTTTTCCATCACTTCTCAATACTCGCCGCCATATCAAGATTGTCATCACCGCCTTTGCCTTACTCTTCGAACACAACCCGCACCTAAAATTATGACATCATAGTGGAACATTAGAACATCGCCTGGCCCACTGCTCACAGCAAGAAGCCAAAAAAGAAGACCCCCCCCCCCCCTACTCATTCACGGGCTGGGTCGCCCGATTTGCGCGCACTTTCTTCCAGGGCTGTGGAGGCTCCGTGCCGGCGGAATTTTTTGGCCCTTGCACGCTGCTATTCCTTCCCTTTGCCATACGCGCGTCGGAAGGGCGTACCACCCGAGCTTCGATCCTAGTTGGTCATGTCTCTCACAGCTATCTATCTACTTTGGCTCAAATGGAACTCTTCGTGATCTTCTGCCACCACAGGAGTTTCAGCTCTGCAGCCAACATCATGAAGGGTAACATTTGAGCCAAGTATGAACAAAATAGTCAAAAGTAAAAGTGGGCGATGAAAATATGGAATGATTAATTAATTAATTCGTATTGTTTTCCTTTCACAGGAGACTCCGAGCTGCCATAGATGGAACTGCCGCATCCATAGTTTCCTGGGTCGAAAAATTGCCAATTAATGAAATGATTAAGTTCAAAATATTTAAGAAAATTGAGCACGCAGATGAGATGAGGCTAGATGCATTTGACCTGCTTGAAATATATAGCGTGAAGCTGGCGCGTCTCAACGCCACAGAGGCAGAGTTAAGCGGTAAATAAACACATCATTCATAATGAAATGGTTTTAAAAGAATGCCTTAACGATTTGTACTTTACTTGCACAGACCGGGAGCAGCAAGTCGCAGCCCGTGAAGAGAGCGTGAGAGGACGAGAGGCGGCAGTAGCAAACCCCAGCAAAATGTTAATTGAAGGTCATCAATATTAATAATAACATGCATTTCTCCTAAGATATCATTGATAGTCGAGATTATTACCCCCCCCCCCTAATTACACCAATATCAGTTTGTAAGGTCTCTGACGATTCTGGACCGCCTCGTTCAAATTTGCTTGTCAAGTGTGAAGTGTACCAGGGCCGGCCCACTTACTGCCACAGATACATCTCTCGTCTTACGTGCCGCAAACCCCTCACGGGCCCCACCTGGGCTTTAACAGGCACATATAAAGCATAAAATGTGTACTTAACGCTCACCGTAGCTTCGCTGAATGTACGACACTGCCCGCTCGTGCGCTGCGCAAGGGGTCGCCCAGAAAGTGTGTCCGTCTGTCGGGTATGCGTTCGAGCTGGGCGCCTGCGAGCCTCAGGGTAGGCCAGCCCGCAGTACACACCTGAACCAAAACGGAGATATTGCCTACCTACCACGCGCTCTAAGAGCTCGCACAGATTGAATTTGGCCCTTCAAGGGCTTACAGGGCTTTCCAGACTCACCGCATCTAAGCCCAACAGTACCTTGCGCGTACCCAGACTGTGTGAAATCATGACTAAATAAAACATCTTCACGTAACTCTTATTGAATGCAATGTATGTGGCCCGCGGCCTCGCCTGGCTCCCGCGTCCAAGTCCCCCGAGCCTCCACCGCGTCCGACCGCGTCCCTACTCGCCTCCACCAGCTCAGGGAGGAGCCGGCCCCTCACGGCAGCCACCCGTCGAACTCTTGTGTGGTTGTCTGCTGCTAGGACGGACGCGCCAACTCAAATAGACGCAGAACATGTCCAGACGCGCGGCCGCCAGAGTGAGGTCAACGAGTGTAAGAGAGTGTCGGTGGCGCGAGCCAGCCCGTACCCTGGCCCGGGCCAGGCCGCTGCAGGCCGCGCCCCGCACTCACGCGTGCTTGTTTATCGCTTTGCGGTAGCAGGTACGTAGTATGTGACATTTTTTTTTCAATTCTTTTAAAGGTGCAGGCTGTTGAGGTTTCAAAAATTTCGCGTACTTAGAGTCGAATTTTTGCGAAAGTGAGACTTGCTTCGTGTTCAGGAGTGTCCCAGCTACAACGCTGCGTTCGTCTTTTTTCATTGTTTTTTGAGGTGCAGGATGTTGGGGTTTCATAGATTAGATACGGGTACTTGGAGTCGATTTTTTCAGAAAGTAAGACTTGATTCGTATACAGGAATGTCACACTGTCACAGCTACAACGCTGCGTTCCCCTTTTCCGAGTCACGGGCGTCCCCCAGGCCGCACAAGTACGCTACCGCTCATCTCATTCTCTCGCCAACGACCATACCACGCTGGGTCTAGCGGTCTACCCGCGGTGGTCGCGTACCGGCAGAAGTTCAAATCATCTCCCCGGGAGAAAAAATCAGCTGAAGAAAGTCGGACTTTTAGTGTGAAAAAGCGAAATTTACCTGAGCCGGGACTGGCACTTACCTGATTTTAACTGATTTTTACCGACACTCAACTGAACAAGCTGATCTACCCCAACTTTAACATGATATACTTGAACACTTAACTAACAATTATCCGCAATTATCTCAAATTAAGCTGATGAGAAATTAGCATCAACATTCAGCTCGATTCAGTTATATTCAGTTATCTGTCGGGTCAACACTAACTGACTAAAAGTAATATTTTACTGATCTCTTGCTGAAATTTATCTTCAGCTCTTTACCATGTTTACTCAGCGATGGGTCGACTTTATAAAAACTGATAAGAGTCTAATATTTGCTGAACTTTGCTGAAGTGTCAACGAAAGGCATTTGTCAGCTGGCGCTCATGTTGTATGCATCTGATTTAAGACTGAATTTAGCTGAGATTGGCATCCGTGTGCAAATCAGGAGGGATCAGTATCACGTCAATAAATCATAAATGACGTGGAGCTGAAGTTACCTGAAGCCGACGATGTCAGCTAGTTGTCAGCAAAATTGCAACCATCAATTGAACTGACGGAAAGATGATTAGAGCTAACTAAAACTGAATTTTCTAGTCAGCTAACTTCAGTTTCGATTCTAAAAAGAGTTATCTAGGATCAGCTTTTGTTCATGTTAAGTCAGTTATGTCAGCTAACTTTCAGCTAGATCAGTTAAAATCAGTAATAATCAGGTAACTTCAGTCAACATCAGTTTTCTTTTTCTCCCGGGTCAGAGCCGCGCGCCACGCCCCGCCGGGCCGGACAGGGGATGGCCCGGCTGACCACGAGCTCGGCACACTGCTGCACCGCGTGAAGGTGGATCCACAATAGACACATCAGACACATCACTTCTTCTTTTTCTTTCCTGTCTTCTTTTTTTTTTGTAGTTTTGTAGTTTTGAGGGGCGGGGGTTGATGCGATATGATGTGTTTGATGTGATGTGTTTGATGTGATGTGTTTGATGTGATGTGTTTGATGTGATGTGTTTGATGTGATGTGTTTGATGTGATGTGTTTGATGTGATGTGTTTGATGTGATGTGTTTGATGTGATGTGTTTGATGTGATGTGTTTGATGTGATGTGTTTGATGTGATGTGTTTGATGTGATGTGTGATTATTATATTTTCTTGAAATTCCTAGATGAAACCATCTATATTTTAACATCGCATCACCGGGGGGTGATGATGCCATGTGATGTGTTTGAAGCGATGCGATGCGCAGAATGCCGTGGATCGGAATTCTTGTAGTTTTTGGCTTAACCGAAGGACCTAACTAGATTACCCCGGGCACAACAGACCCAGAACCTCACCGAGGAACGTACCCCGGTTCCGCCGACCTCCAGGAGATGGCGCTGCGATACGGACTGACCAATCACAGCTCAGGTTGAGTTTGGCCGCGAAACAATCGACGTTCGAAGTTCGTTGTTGCCGTCAACGTCAAATCTGGTCAAGCCCGCCTAGAGCCCGCCCCCGTCAAGCCGTATCTTCGACCGTTGGTGTTGTCTCAGTTACTTTGTGATTTGTGAGTGTAATTCAACAAAAGTGTCAGCAATTTGTCCCTAGCCTGGCTGATTCGCCCGCGAAACATTTATCGAAGTTCTAGGAATATCCTGAATTTGCGGGCTGGGAACCTAACCCTTGTTTGGCGGGTTGCCTTTGGCCGTTTGCAAATATAATTTGGGGTCTATTATTTAAATGATAATGATAGTGTGCACTGAGCCATTTTTAACCAAAGAAGCGTCTCAATGTCTCACTTTATATTTTAATGAAGGGGTGTGGGGAATATCAGTCTGGATTCAGTCAGGCCTTCATTTAATGACTTGAGTTCTGACCCTCTTCTCTCTGTTTCTTTACAGGTCCAGCATCCAGCCCATCCATCGTCACCTGCCCACCCTATTCACTGTGAGAAATATATTTGTACATGTACGATATATTTTGTAATTTGCCATTTACAATACGAGTCGTACATGTACAACCTCCCGCTATCACTCGATATTCGATTCCAAGTCGATACATAGGGCCAGAAAATTGTACAATTTTAGATTGTACTTGTACGACTTCTTCCATGGAAAATTTTCCTGTACCCGGTACGACAATTTTTCACAGTGTTTGTAGGTCCCCAAAGGACTCAAATTTGTCTCGATGACATCAAATGACATCAGTAGTCAAGATGACTAAGTTTTGATTAATGATGTCACTTGATGTCATCTTGACAATTTTCTGTCCCCTGGGTCCATTCTCCCATTACCTCTCCTTTTGGAATCACATCCTGTGCACATCCCATAAATGCTATGTTGTTTAAGAACAGGGTGATTATCAAAAAAACCGTACAGTTTCGTTCCAAAGCATCTCATGTTCGTCTCCATTGTGCTGGAGCCACCACTTCGGTCTAGTATGACGTCTTTTTTGGAGCTCTACTAGGGGCCGACAAGAATATCGAACAATTTTATCACTGGTAGGAGCAGGATCGATCTAAAGGGGTTAAAACTAAACTCCGATGCTTTCCACACTTCCCTGTTGGTTTGAAAAGCAGCCTATTTTGGGAATATGGAAGCCTTGGAAACTCAAATGTCCTCCCTAGTTCTACAGTCCACATTCAAAGGTACTTTCACCCTTAGTCTTGGTTTTTTAGCGGGTGTACACGCAGAGCTACAGGAGCTCAAAGTCGTTCCACGGGTTTTGAGGTTCGGGCTTCGGAGTTTATCAGCCACCACTCCACAGCCAAGACGGGTCCAGCTGAAGGGTTGGTAGCACTGCATCACGAGAGTACGACAAGAACTCAACTTTTTCCGAACGAGAAGTTGGCGCGAAACGGGATCAGCTGGTGAAGAGGCGGGAAGAAACATCGTTTTCTTGTGCGAATATTTTTGCGAATAAACTCCGTTCCTGCTCTAGTTTCCATTCTGTAATGCAGAATCGAAAATCCCGAATATGCCCTTTTGAAAATAGAGGACTATTAACGTCCTGCCCGGTCGTAATAAGTTTGGGGTGCCCTGTCCGGGCAAAAGGGCTGTTCTAGGCTTTCTTCAGAACTAAACTCCGATGCCATTATCTGTTACTATCACTAATTATTCCACCCACGTCTCGGCCGTGGGTCGCTCCGGTGTCTTGAAGTCGTGGTATTGCCAGTGGTAGAGCGGGCCTATGCCCGACACTTAGGCAACACGTCAAACACCCTCATAGATTTGCTTAACCTACTGGGGCTATGGACCAGTTCCGCAAGATCTATTACAATGCTGCTTGAACATTCGTGTAAAAAATGATATCAAAAGAGTCTGGATCGATCATGGAGCTGTATTTTGCACGTCTACGGGAGAACTGTACGATTGGACTAAACTTCGATGCCTCTTTTTGGCATGAATCGCTGTTAAACCTCTGTACGTGGTCAGACTGTGGGACAACTCTAGAAATGTAACCTTGTGGTACTAAAGAACAATATCCAACCCAAAAAATTAAGCCAAAAAAATAATGAAATAATTCTATTTTTGAAACGAAACTGCACGGTTTTTTTGATAATCACCCAACACCATCAATATACATGTGAAACAGAAATGAAATAGAAAGTAAAAGCAATAAGTTTATTGACTAAGTTGACCTGTATCCTGTG